ATCTGCAAAGACAGCATAGACCAGCCTGCCTTTCCACCCCTGTTCATCCTCCTATGTGAGCCATCCCATCCTCTCCCTGTGTTCTTGGTCCATGAACAGTGAGGACCAGGGCTGCCCTAGACATCAGGGAGCTCAGGCCATCCCCCAGGCCCAGCAGCAGCAGGTCAACAGACCCCACGTCCACTCCCCTCGGCCTGAGGCTCAGCCATGGGAGAGGCAGAGGTATCCACCCAGATACGCAAGGTGGGCTGGAGAGCTGCAGCACTGCTCGGCACAGCGTGCAGGGTGCCAGGCACAGCCCTGTCCTGCACAGTGCACACCCCAGACCCCAACATGTAATGGGGAGCCCAGGCTAGTCCTCAGTTCCTACTGAAGCCATCATATTCCCCCTGAACTTCCATTTCTCTATTAGCTCACTCATTTTGCTGCTGGACTGCAGATGCCCTTAATAGTGAAGCCCACCAAAGCATCCTATGGCAGGTGACTCTGGGTGTACGACAGGTGATGTGATTAACGGTTAGACCAGGTGTACAAGTGGAACACTGGGTAAATCATTCCTCAAGGCTGATATGGGGAAGGGGCAGAATTCATGGGAATCACACAGGAGTGAGAAAGGGAGGTTGCCTGAACCCTGAGGGGCTCCTTGGCTGCAAGAGGAAAGTTTTTATCTTCCCTTAATGTCACCCCAGAGCTCCCAAAGGGCCATAGCTATAGGTAAGGGAGGCCAGACCCCAGTTACCCAGAAGAGTAAGCCATCAGGACAATGACCGAGGGCCCGCATGTCTCTCTCCTGCAGCCTGGTCAGCTGTGGCCTCACGTCCAGCTGCTGCCAAGACCTGGCCTCTGTGCTCAGCACCAGCCCCAGCCTGGCGGAGCTCGACCTGCAGCAGAACGACCTGGGAGACCTTGGCGTGAGGCTGCTCTGCGAGGGGCTGCGGCATCCCGCCTGCCAACTCACGTTCCTGAGGTAAGGCCCTATGGGGCCCTTCCGAGCAGACGTCAGGGAAGGGAGGGTGGCAGGGTGGCAGGGGATTGGATAAAGGAAGGAAGAGGGACTGATAAATGCATAGTCAGCCTTGGTTTCTTATCAGCTCTACCACCTACTTACACGTGCAACTCAGGCAAGACACTGTCTTCTCTGAGACTCGGTTTCTGTATCTGTGTAATGGGAGTACCATACCCACTTCATGGATTATAATCAAATAAAACGTATGTAAGAACAAGGACAGTGCTGGGAAGAAAGTTAGGCATGATCAAATGATACCTACTAGCAAGGCTGTGTGTTCTAAGGGACTCCCAGCTTCACTCCACTCCAGGGCATCACTTCATTCATTCATTTACTCATTCATTCATTCACTGCATGCCTCCTGTGTGCAAGCACTGGGCCAGGCCCTCAGCATAGGATAGTGAGCAAACAGACCTGTAGCTGAAACTGGCCACTACAACCAGAGGACTCGATCCCCGGGGGCGAGCACTTTTGTACCCCAGCTTCTCCCCACTGAGTGTATTGGCTGTCACCATCTGTTCTGTGTTGGAGCCTCCTCAAAGCTTGGCCACAGTGGTTGTCAAACCTCACCTGGCTCCGCAGGGAGCTTGTTCTCTGAGGTCCTGGAAAGGTTCCCCCTCCTTTCCTCCTGGAGCCCAGGACTTGGTTGAGAGGGGCAACTTTCTCCTGCTTGGGCTCATCCCTTCCCCAAGGGGAGAATAGCTCTGATCACGGTAGGGTGACATGGTAGGGCTCTGCCCTCCTGAAGCTTAAACTTTAGTGGGAATGAGATAGAAGTTGATCACCTGTGAATGCACAAATATCTGTATGCTAACATCAGCTCTGATGAATGGTATAAAGGGCAAGTACAGGGTATTATGAGAATGTAACACCGGGGGAGGATGGAATGAGATTCAAGGGCCAGGAAGGGCTTCTCTGAGGAAGTGACGTCAGGCTGAGGCCTGAAGGAAATAGGAGTTGCCCAGGCCAAGTTGGAGACACTGGTCCAGGCAGAGGGGTAGCATGGGAGACACCCCGGAAAAGAAAACGGCTCGAGCACTGTGCTGGAGAGCCGGAAGAGCCCTGTGTGGTTGGAGTGGAGCGAACCTCTAGCCCTCGATTCCCATCAAGCAAGCCCTGGAGGTTAACGCCCTTCCCCACACCACTGATGGGCCACTTCCTCTTTCTTCCACCTCCCTGAAAACAAGCCCATGGGCCACTTCTGGCTGAACACTTCCCTGCAGCTCCCGCGGGGCTGTGCCACATGCTCAGGGAACTGACAGAGCCCTCAGGTCCTGCTCTGAGCTCTGGAGTGGGTGTGGGAGTCCTGGGCCCTTGGGCTGCCCCAGCCAGGCCTCCTGCATCTACTCCCAAATGTAAAAGAGGAGTCAGGCAGCATAACAGGAATAAATTGTCCACATTTGGGATTTCCTGTAGCTGAAACTGGGCACTACAACCAGAGGACTCGATCCCCAGTGGTCAGTACCTTTGTACCCCAGCCTCTCCCCACTGAGTGTATTGGCTGTCACCATCTGCCCCGTGTTAGAGCCTCCTCAGAGCTTGGCCACAGTGGTTGTCAAACCTCACCTGGCTCCGCAAGGAGCTTGTTCTCTGAGGTCCTGGGAAGGTTCCCCCTCCTTTCCTCCTGGAGCCCAGGACTTGGTTGAGAGGGGCAACTTTCTCCTGCTTGGGCTCATCCCCTCCCCAAGGGGAGAACAGCTCTGATCATGGTTGGGCGACAAATGCATGGCCCTTTACAGGTGCGGGGTCTTTTCGCCTCCCGCCTTGTCTGTACCTCCCAACAGGCAGAGCAGGCGTGATTCACCCCATGTTATACACTCAGGACACAGA